AACAAACACAATAGCACAATCAATGTAAAATTCCGTGTTCTGTAATGCTCCATTACTCATATATTATCTCGCTTGACCTCTTGTGTTGCCATTTTCCTGGTGGTGTCTTTGAGTTCAGAGTTGTTTTTCTCTGTGTGGGGTGGCTAATGAATGACTAAATGTGATCTCTCGCCGTGCCACTCAGAGTAATGGTCTGCTTTTTGTGGCATTGATTATTCACTGCTGATTCCAAGGGAAACTTTCCCGGAAATGGAGTGGTTTCCTTCCTCCCTATAATTTGGATGTTCCACTTCAGAAGTTTGAATACCTGCCCAGCCTATTATATGCTTCCTTGAATAGCTTATGTCAGGACTTCCCAATCTGGGAGTCACCAGAGCTTTCTTAGGAGTCACCAAGTCTATTTGATATTGACTGTACCGACTTCCTGTGAAGTGACTTGTTCTCGGAAATGCACCATTAATGTTCCAACAAACTGGCATAACAAGTATGCTTTGCGCACAGGGGGTTTTGTGACTGTAACACAGGCCATGTGCTCTGTGGGCAGTGAATTTCTGGCTGTACTGGATTTTTTTCATCTGTCCTCCCCTGACGCAAAGACTTAACAGGGACAGGACTCATGTGGGTGGTCCAGGGCTGCGAAGGCTGAACCCTTTGTGCTGACCTGGCTGTGAGCACATAGTGATACACTTGTAGAGCCCACACATTAATACAGTCATCGCTGTCTATCAGCAAAGACCCTCATTCTTTCAAATCCATTACTCGCGTAATAGTTGTTCCAAGAAAACTCTGTTTGTTCTGACAGGATACACTTGTGGGTTCAGAACGGTATGAAAAAGAATCTCTATAGAAATGTGTGCCAGAATGACGTTCTCATCGCTGTCATTAACATGTACTGTGACTCCTCTTTTGCCGTAGGTTGACCTGAACAAGCTAATGACGGCTGTGAATGTAAGCCATTGTCTGAGCCCCAGCCATAAGCCTTTCGAGTCGCCCGGTGTGGTGGTGGAGCAGTCCCCCATGGAGCGCACCAAAGGATTCTTCACCGACGAATCAGAGCCGCTGCTGCGCTGTGACTCCACTTCCAGCAAGGACTCTGCCCTCAGCCGGACAGGCTCTTTCATAACCAAAGGTAAACACACATGGATAAACACTAGGAAGAAAATCAGCTAGAAAAACACACTAATAAAAAATGAGTAGTAATAAACCTATAATGATATATAAAAATACAATATTTAATAAGTATTTTTATTATATTTCAGATGATCAAAATGTCACACTTTAAATTAAAATATAAAATTAAAATATAATGTAATTTATCATTTAAGTGCTCCGAATTCCTCCTTGTGATGTTTTGTTTCTGCATAGTATGTTGAACCATTTCAAATATTGTTACCTTTTTAATTGCTAGACAATATAGATAGATAGATAACAATTTCAATTCATGAATGTGTAATTAAATTAAAATGTAATTGTTTTTGCACCTTTCACGTGGTGAAAGGTATTGTAGTAGTATCTTACAATATATCGCCCCCTTGTGGATGCTTTACGTTTCTGCATTGTATGTTCAACCATTTCAAATCATGCAAATGTGACCCTGGACCACAAAACCAGTGGGTATATTTGTAGCAATAGCCAACAATTCAGTGTATGGGTCAAAATTATTGATTTTTTTTTTTTATGCCAAAAATCATTAGGATATTAAGTAAAGATCATGTTCCATGAAGATATTTTGTAAATTTCCTACCGTAAATGTATCAAAACTTAATTTTTGAGTACTACATCAGCTTTCAGATGATGTATAAATCTAAAAAAAAAAAAAAAGACCCTTATGACTGGTTTTGTGGTCCAAGGTCACAAATAATTTAAATCTAGAAATGTTACCTTTTTTGATTGCTAGGCCCTATAATACTTATGTATTAATTATGTATTAAATGCAATTTTGTAATTTTATTTTATATTAGTAAAATTTTGAAATAATAATACATAACAATAAACATGTATATTTTAAAATATTTAGTCTTATTAATATAAATATTATTCTGTTATCATAATTAATAAAAGTAATTAAGTAATACGATTCAACTTTAAATGACAATTAAGTGTCCTATATTGTTCAAGGAAAGATTTAAACAAGTTTGCCCAAACTAGAGTGTTTGCACTTTTAATGTGGTAAACGCAAATATGTTGCCCCATTGTGGATGCTTTATGTTCCACTGTTAAAATATGCCAACAATCATAAGAAATGCTATTTTTTTCTTCTTGAGCTGTGATTTTTTTCATCACACCATCTCTTATTAAATATGAAGCTTTTCTTTAAAATTTGCACTCTTCTTTTAGTATGATGTTATAAAGACTATAATGAATAATAAATCCTAAAATGTTTGTTTTATTAATGGCAACACTCAATCTTCTGTCCCACAGAGAAAAAGGACACAGTGCTGCGGCAGGTGCGTCTGGACCCCTGTGACCTGCAGCCCATCTTTGACGAGATGTTGCACATTCTCAACCCTGAGGAGCTCCATGTTATTGAGGAGATTCCGATGGCGGAGGACAAGCTGGACCGCTTGTTCGAGATAGCAGGGGTGAAGAGTCAAGAAGCAAGCCAGACGCTGCTCGACTCAGTCTACAGTCACTTGCCTGACCTTCTTTAGATCTTTACAACATCTCACTATTGTCAGCTACAGAAACAACGCGACGGACACACAGATGTGCGCTCACTCTGTTCCATTGTGTCATTTGGTGACATGCACGTAATATTAAAACCTCTGGAATGCTCAGACAGGAGTTTCTCTGCAATCGAAGCCGCTCCTTGCGCTAGAATTCACAGAGCGTGGATGAAGCGTTCTCTTGTTTGTGAGCTCTTGACTGGATACAGCTGGTGTCAGTGCTATAACCTCTCTAACTTGCAGCATTTTCTTGCACACACCTCAGCATGATGTCTAACTCAAAGCTATATGATGTCATTTATGAACCGTTTTTGTAAATTGTTAAATCAAGCATTTAGTCCTTTGATGTTATGTTAAAATGTGTGTTTTTTTGTATTACTACTTACAGATTAACGCATCCTAATCAGCAAGGTATTTTTGTTCCCTTTGTTTGTCTTTTTTATGTTCTCAAGTATTACCACTGTAGCTTTTTTAGATACTAATTTTGTGTTTTATGTGATTTCAAGGGCATTGAAAATCATTCCAACTGGTTATGATACAAATCATGACTGTGGATTATGTGCATTCACTATACAACTCTCAAAATAAGCTCCATTCCCATGTGCTTTTCCAATAAAAGAGGACAAAAAGCAAGTATGATCGCTAAGTAATTTCACAAAGGCTAGAGTACCACCAAGAGTCTATTTCACATTTAAATGTAGCATTTCAGTATTGATATTGCAGATGATGATATGTAGTACAGAGAGAATGTCTCTGTTGAACTCTTAAATCAAGTCACTCTGGTGCTAGATGTGAAACTATGGGATAGTGGTCGATTTTATCCCAATAACAGGGTGTTTATGGTCATTTGACCACTGAACTTTAAAAAAATAAAAAGTGGGGCAAGACAAAACAGCAGCTGTATTGACTCTCATGGATCTGAGGAAGAGTGTCAGATGAGCTGTTTGGAAACAAACAAGGACAGGATCATGGAGTGGAAAGCTAATATGTATTCTAATGGCTTTTAAAATGTAACACATGTAACCAATACATTTATTATTATTGATAATTATCATGTAATCTTGGAAATCAACAGATTAAAGTTTTTTGTCATAACTTGTGGTTGTATTCATGGTGTTTTCTTTTTTTTATATAAATAGTTTATTGTGAATCTTCTTTTTTGTTTTGTCCATGAGCTGCACTAATTTCTGAGTGACATAAAAATGCTTGAGATTCAAGTTTGTGGAGACATGCACATTTTATTTGAACATGTAAATCATTACATGTAAATCATTTCTATCTATCAATCTCAGGTAAGCCTATCAGATGCATGGTAACTATCTGACATGAAACCCTTGTTGCTGATATGAAACATATAACAGTGTTCTTCCTCATTCTTATTTTACTTTTGGACAATATGTTGCACATTCTCAACTCTGAGGAGCTCCATAGGAGCTCTTATTGAGGAGATCCCAATGGCGGAGGACAAGCTGGACCAGTTGTTCAAGATTGCAGGGTTGAAGAGTCAAGAAGCAAGCCAGACGCTACTTAATCTGCAGTCGGGGTGTAAAACTCAACCTGTGTTCGAAATCACCCCATATACCCTCATTCACTATTCCCTACATTAGTCCACTAATATAGTTTACTCTAGTTGAAGGACTGAATGAAAACAAGTGAGCAAATTCAGACTGGAAGGGCTGCCCATAGTTTGTGCTGGCTGTTTAATAATCTTTTGAAACTTAGCAAACTAGCTCTTGAAGTGTATCTCTTGTAGTAATGAAGAGATTTATCTTGAACTCTGAAACAAGCATGTATAAATCTTAATTAAACTATTTAATAATCAGTTAAAAATAAATTTATACCTGTGCGATATTACTGTACCCATATTGGACCAGCAGTCTGGAAAATGGATGGATGGATGATTTAGCTCTCACGCCGTCTTCTGGTGAGATGCGGAAATTCATTCCACACGACCCTCACGGTGCATTGTGAGTATTCTCTAGCCGTTGAGTGTACATCAGTTGAACACACCATAGATGTGTATAGGTAGATTCCACATTCGACAGCTCCAGACACTTCGACGCGTCTGTCATCTTGGAGCGGTCAATGTTTTGTCATTCACAATTAAAATCAATGAATTTCAAGATGGCACAACATTGCGCAGCATCTGGTTCTGGTTGTAAAAAAAAATCTTAAATTCATGAAGAAATTGGATAAACTTTTCACTGGTAAGAATGTGTTGATTTGTGTTTTAATATGTATTAACTCATAGCAAACATGGGGGGGGGGGGGGGGGATGAAAAAGAATCTCTATAGAAATGTGTGCCAGAATGACGTTCTCATCGCTGTCATTAACATGTACTGTGACTCCTCTTTTGCCGTAGGTTGACCTGAACAAGCTAATGACGGCTGTGAATGTAAGCCATTGTCTGAGCCCCAGCCATAAGCCTTTCGAGTCGCCCGGTGTGGTGGTGGAGCAGTCCCCCATGGAGCGCACCAAAGGATTCTTCACCGACGAATCAGAGCCGCTGCTGCGCTGTGACTCCACTTCCAGCAAGGACTCTGCCCTCAGCCGGACAGGCTCTTTCATAACCAAAGGTAAACACACATGGATAAACACTAGGAAGAAAATCAGCTAGAAAAACACACTAATAAAAAATGAGTAGTAATAAACCTATAATGATATATAAAAATACAATATTTAATAAGTATTTTTATTATATTTCAGATGATCAAAATGTCACACTTTAAATTAAAATATAAAATTAAAATATAATGTAATTTATCATTTAAGTGCTCCGAATTCCTCCTTGTGATGTTTTGTTTCTGCATAGTATGTTGAACCATTTCAAATATTGTTACCTTTTTAATTGCTAGACAATATAGATAGATAGATAACAATTTCAATTCATGAATGTGTAATTAAATTAAAATGTAATTGTTTTTGCACCTTTCACGTGGTGAAAGGTATTGTAGTAGTATCTTACAATATATCGCCCCCTTGTGGATGCTTTACGTTTCTGCATTGTATGTTCAACCATTTCAAATCATGCAAATGTGACCCTGGACCACAAAACCAGTGGGTATATTTGTAGCAATAGCCAACAATTCAGTGTATGGGTCAAAATTATTGATTTTTTTTTTTTATGCCAAAAATCATTAGGATATTAAGTAAAGATCATGTTCCATGAAGATATTTTGTAAATTTCCTACCGTAAATGTATCAAAACTTAATTTTTGAGTACTACATCAGCTTTCAGATGATGTATAAATCTAAAAAAAAAAAAAAAGACCCTTATGACTGGTTTTGTGGTCCAAGGTCACAAATAATTTAAATCTAGAAATGTTACCTTTTTTGATTGCTAGGCCCTATAATACTTATGTATTAATTATGTATTAAATGCAATTTTGTAATTTTATTTTATATTAGTAAAATTTTGAAATAATAATACATAACAATAAACATGTATATTTTAAAATATTTAGTCTTATTAATATAAATATTATTCTGTTATCATAATTAATAAAAGTAATTAAGTAATACGATTCAACTTTAAATGACAATTAAGTGTCCTATATTGTTCAAGGAAAGATTTAAACAAGTTTGCCCAAACTAGAGTGTTTGCACTTTTAATGTGGTAAACGCAAATATGTTGCCCCATTGTGGATGCTTTATGTTCCACTGTTAAAATATGCCAACAATCATAAGAAATGCTATTTTTTTCTTCTTGAGCTGTGATTTTTTTCATCACACCATCTCTTATTAAATATGAAGCTTTTCTTTAAAATTTGCACTCTTCTTTTAGTATGATGTTATAAAGACTATAATGAATAATAAATCCTAAAATGTTTGTTTTATTAATGGCAACACTCAATCTTCTGTCCCACAGAGAAAAAGGACACAGTGCTGCGGCAGGTGCGTCTGGACCCCTGTGACCTGCAGCCCATCTTTGACGAGATGTTGCACATTCTCAACCCTGAGGAGCTCCATGTTATTGAGGAGATTCCGATGGCGGAGGACAAGCTGGACCGCTTGTTCGAGATAGCAGGGGTGAAGAGTCAAGAAGCAAGCCAGACGCTGCTCGACTCAGTCTACAGTCACTTGCCTGACCTTCTTTAGATCTTTACAACATCTCACTATTGTCAGCTACAGAAACAACGCGACGGACACACAGATGTGCGCTCACTCTGTTCCATTGTGTCATTTGGTGACATGCACGTAATATTAAAACCTCTGGAATGCTCAGACAGGAGTTTCTCTGCAATCGAAGCCGCTCCTTGCGCTAGAATTCACAGAGCGTGGATGAAGCGTTCTCTTGTTTGTGAGCTCTTGACTGGATACAGCTGGTGTCAGTGCTATAACCTCTCTAACTTGCAGCATTTTCTTGCACACACCTCAGCATGATGTCTAACTCAAAGCTATATGATGTCATTTATGAACCGTTTTTGTAAATTGTTAAATCAAGCATTTAGTCCTTTGATGTTATGTTAAAATGTGTGTTTTTTTGTATTACTACTTACAGATTAACGCATCCTAATCAGCAAGGTATTTTTGTTCCCTTTGTTTGTCTTTTTTATGTTCTCAAGTATTACCACTGTAGCTTTTTTAGATACTAATTTTGTGTTTTATGTGATTTCAAGGGCATTGAAAATCATTCCAACTGGTTATGATACAAATCATGACTGTGGATTATGTGCATTCACTATACAACTCTCAAAATAAGCTCCATTCCCATGTGCTTTTCCAATAAAAGAGGACAAAAAGCAAGTATGATCGCTAAGTAATTTCACAAAGGCTAGAGTACCACCAAGAGTCTATTTCACATTTAAATGTAGCATTTCAGTATTGATATTGCAGATGATGATATGTAGTACAGAGAGAATGTCTCTGTTGAACTCTTAAATCAAGTCACTCTGGTGCTAGATGTGAAACTATGGGATAGTGGTCGATTTTATCCCAATAACAGGGTGTTTATGGTCATTTGACCACTGAACTTTAAAAAAATAAAAAGTGGGGCAAGACAAAACAGCAGCTGTATTGACTCTCATGGATCTGAGGAAGAGTGTCAGATGAGCTGTTTGGAAACAAACAAGGACAGGATCATGGAGTGGAAAGCTAATATGTATTCTAATGGCTTTTAAAATGTAACACATGTAACCAATACATTTATTATTATTGATAATTATCATGTAATCTTGGAAATCAACAGATTAAAGTTTTTTGTCATAACTTGTGGTTGTATTCATGGTGTTTTCTTTTTTTTATATAAATAGTTTATTGTGAATCTTCTTTTTTGTTTTGTCCATGAGCTGCACTAATTTCTGAGTGACATAAAAATGCTTGAGATTCAAGTTTGTGGAGACATGCACATTTTATTTGAACATGTAAATCATTACATGTAAATCATTTCTATCTATCAATCTCAGGTAAGCCTATCAGATGCATGGTAACTATCTGACATGAAACCCTTGTTGCTGATATGAAACATATAACAGTGTTCTTCCTCATTCTTATTTTACTTTTGGACAATATGTTGCACATTCTCAACTCTGAGGAGCTCCATAGGAGCTCTTATTGAGGAGATCCCAATGGCGGAGGACAAGCTGGACCAGTTGTTCAAGATTGCAGGGTTGAAGAGTCAAGAAGCAAGCCAGACGCTACTTAATCTGCAGTCGGGGTGTAAAACTCAACCTGTGTTCGAAATCACCCCATATACCCTCATTCACTATTCCCTACATTAGTCCACTAATATAGTTTACTCTAGTTGAAGGACTGAATGAAAACAAGTGAGCAAATTCAGACTGGAAGGGCTGCCCATAGTTTGTGCTGGCTGTTTAATAATCTTTTGAAACTTAGCAAACTAGCTCTTGAAGTGTATCTCTTGTAGTAATGAAGAGATTTATCTTGAACTCTGAAACAAGCATGTATAAATCTTAATTAAACTATTTAATAATCAGTTAAAAATAAATTTATACCTGTGCGATATTACTGTACCCATATTGGACCAGCAGTCTGGAAAATGGATGGATGGATGATTTAGCTCTCACGCCGTCTTCTGGTGAGATGCGGAAATTCATTCCACACGACCCTCACGGTGCATTGTGAGTATTCTCTAGCCGTTGAGTGTACATCAGTTGAACACACCATAGATGTGTATAGGTAGATTCCACATTCGACAGCTCCAGACACTTCGACGCGTCTGTCATCTTGGAGCGGTCAATGTTTTGTCATTCACAATTAAAATCAATGAATTTCAAGATGGCACAACATTGCGCAGCATCTGGTTCTGGTTGTAAAAAAAAATCTTAAATTCATGAAGAAATTGGATAAACTTTTCACTGGTAAGAATGTGTTGATTTGTGTTTTAATATGTATTAACTCATAGCAAACATGGGGGGGGGGGGGGGAGAG